CTACACACCATGCCGTCACGATGCCGTGTTAGACACAGCCCGCCCGGATCCACGTGCCTCCCATCTAAATCCATGTCATTATCGATTTAAAATTCTAAGAGCTAAAATCATAACTTGCTTTTCTCACGAAAAGACAGACAGGGAAGTTCCCCTAGATTCGCACTCCAAGAGCCAGAGTGGACGGAAGACCTTATAGCAGATATTCTCACTGAAATGTATGGCGGTCAGAAACGCACATACGAGCAAGTCAGGCACCGGTGGCTCCCGCCTGTCATCCCAGCTGCTCAGGAGGCTGAGATGTGAGGATCACGGTTCAAAGCCAGCCCGGGCAGAAAAGGCTTTGAGACTCTGATCTCCCATGAACCACCAGAAAACTGGAAGTGGAGCTTGGCCTCAAGTGGTAGAGCACCGGCTGAAAGAGCTCAGGGTCAGCGCCCAGGCCCTGAGTTCAAGACCCACGACCGACAAAAACAAAACCCACAAAAGATTTGATCATTATTGTTACACGCATGTCCTTCTGTTATTACAGGTTAGTTATAAGTAGCACCTGCAAGGTTTTCTTGAGCTTTTATCCACGGTAGGAAATAGCCAACTTGATTTGTTTTGCAACGATCAATCCAATATACAGCACACTCCCTCCATGCTCAGCGCTAACCATTTTAACAAATCATAGTTGATTCTTTCGTCTCCAAGGGCATTGAAGGTCATAGCTTCTCTTCCTCCTCCTCATTCTTCTTTCTCTTCCTCTTTTTTCTTTTCTTTTTTTTCTTTGCCAGTCCTGGGCCTTGAACTCAGGGCCTGGGCGCTGTCCCTGAGCCTCTCTGTGCTCAAGGCTGGCGCTCTACCACTTGAGCCACAGCTGCCACTTCTGGCTTTTTCTGTGTATGTGGTACTGAGGAATTTTACCCAGGGCTTCCTGCATGCTAGGCGAGCACTCTACCACTGAGCCACATTCCTAGTCTGGTCATTGTTTCTTTAACAGTCAGGATCTAGCCAGACACTGGTGGTTCACGCCTGTCATCCCAGCGACTCAGGAGGCTGAGATCTGAGGATCGCAGTTCAAAGCCAGCTTGGGGCAGGAGAGTCTGTGAGACTCTAATGAACCACCAAAAAGCAGGAAGTGGAGGTGTGGCTCAAGTGGTAGAGTGCCAGCCTTGAGCAAAAAGAAAACCAAAAAAACCCTCAAGGGCAGCACCCAGGCCATGCGTTCAAGCCCGCGCGCGCGCGCGCGCACACACACACACACACACACACACACACACACCACTCATTCTCAAATGCTGTTTTTCCCCTTTCTGTTTGTAGATGCAATCTCCCTCCCTTGTCGAGCGAGTACACTAAAGATGTGGGCTCCAAAACGCACCTGGTGACAGCCAATCCCAGCATCATTCGGCAGAGGTAAGAGGAGAGGAGGCCGACACACTCACCAGCTTCTGCTGGCCTGGGGAACAGGAACCTTCTGCATAGGCAGGAAGGAGAGGGAATCAGTAACAAACAAGACGGGCCGTGGACACCCAATCGGTGTCTCCGGCTTCCACGAGGGGCTTGAACTCAGGGCCTGGGCGCTGGCCCTGAGCTTTTTGCTCAGGGCTGGTGCTCTACCACTTGAGCCACAGCGCCACATTGCAGCTTTCTTCTGTGTCTGTGGAGCTGAGGAATCGAACCCAGGGCTTCATGCATGCGAGGCGAGCGCTCTACCCCTGAGCCCAGGGAACGGCTGTATTCTGGTGTGCCAATGAAATCATCTTGAGTGAGCCGGCCCTCCCAACCCCCCCAGGAAAGAACTCTGCGAGCTAACGGCACAGCACAGAAATCAACCAGAAACACCGAGCAGTTCCGTTTCTCCACTGCCAGGAGACACAAAATCCCCAGCACCACGTGAAGGTTTTTTTTTTTTCTGAGCTTGGGTATCACTGAACCCTCCCGACTCCTCATCCCTGCTTCTTTTTCTCCCATTCCCTCGTGAACCAAACTTAAGGGTGTTTAGAACTACCATGGAGCCGAGGGTAGAAAGCCAGCTGCAGATGCACTGGGCAGCAAGCTTGAGATGGAAACACACTTTTAGGAAAAGCGAGGAGAGGAGGGGAGGAGAGGCAGAGCCCTTAGGAACAGCACAGCAGGAAATGCAGACGTTTTTTCTTTCTTTTTGTCTCTTTGCTCTGGAATAAAGAACTGAATTCTTGCTAGGACCTGGTAACTCACGCCCGTAATCCCAGCTACTCGGGAGGTCAAGATGTGAGGATGTCGGTTTGAAAGCCAGGAAAGGCCAATAAGACGGTTATATCCTATGACCAGCCAAAAAACAAAAGCCCGGAGTGGAGCTGTGGCTCAAGTGGTAGAGCACCAGCCTCGAGTGAAGAAAACTCAGGGACAGCGCCCAGGCCCTGAGTTCAAGCCCCAGGACTGGCAAAAAAAACAAAAAAAAAAAGTAGGAATTGATTTAAAGTCCTTGTTATGAATCTATGCATTGGTTTTCTTAAAAGAAAACTAATTTTGGGCTGGGATGTAGCTCAGTGGCAAAGCGCTTGCCTAGCAAGTGCAACGTCCTGGGTTCGATCCCCAGTACCAAAAAAGAAAAAAAAAAAATACAGTTAAAAAAAGAAACGCAAACAACAAAAAAGAAAACTAATTTTTATTCCCATTAGCAGCTCAAAGGAGTATATATATATATATATATATATATATATATATATTTGTATATTGTATATATGTATATATACATTTGTATATATATATAAGCATTAATATCTATTATCATTTTTACTGCTTTAAAAATAGATAACTTTTGTAGATACTTCTTAATAAGGATGATTTAATTATTAATATGGTTGAGTAGTTAATTATCTCATAAGCTATCTGTATTTAATTCTTTTTTTTTCTGAGCTTCTTTTGCTCGAGGCTGGCGCTCTACCACTTGAACCACAGCACCACTTCTAGCTTTTTCTGTGTCTGTGGTACTGAGGAATGGAACCCAGGGCTTCATGCCTGCTAGGCGAGCGCTCTACCACGGAGCCAGCCCTTAATTCTTTTTAAATTTTTATTTTATTTTATATTAGTGTGTGTGTGTGTGTGTGTGTGTGTGTGTGCGTGTGTGCATGCGCGCACACATTGGTACTGGGTCTTGAACTCATGGCCTGGGCGCTGTCCCTGAGCTTCTTTTTGCTCAAGGCTGGCGCTCTACCACTTTGAAACACAGCCCCACTTCTGGTTTTCTGGTGGTTCATTCTAGATGAGAGTCTCACGGGCTTTCCTGCTCAGATTGGCTTTGAACCGCGATCCTCAGATCTCAGCCTCCTGGGGAGCTGGGATGATGGGCGGGAGCCACCGGCGCCTGGCTCTGGATGATTATTTTTCTCCTCACATTCGAAGGTGATTTTTCCTGCTTATCAGCCATGACAAAACTCTTGAGTGAGTCCTTCAATGGCTCTCTCCTTTCTTCCTTGAATGTTAGGGACTTTCTTTTCTGGAAAAAAACGGAGCTTTTTTTCCTCCCCTCTCTCATGTAAATCACTTCCCGAAATAAAACTGCTGAAGTAGAACGGCGAAGGGTATTTTTTCATAATTCTCCCTGTGGAGCAGCTGCTGCGCTGAGCACCAGGCTTTCTACACCAGGCTCTCCGCGAAGCACGCGAGGAGGCTGATAATTGATCAGCCCTGATCGATCATGGATCGGCTCATTAGAAGAATGCTTTGCCTTCCTTACATATTTCAGGGTCGATGCTGGGGATTGAGCTCAGGGATTCAGAGTTTCGAGCCCTCACGACTGAACTCTGCCTCCAGACCCTTGTGCACCGGTTACTTTCCAACTAAAGTCTTTATGCCTTGCCTGGGTTGCGTTTCTCCCACTTGTGCTTCTTTGTGTCGGCAGGGATGACAGGCGTATGCCACCATGCCCGGCCATTTTGGTTGAGATGGCGTCTAGAGAATTTTACTGCCTGGGCTGCTTTTGACCTGCTGTGTCCTTGGACATTGCATCTCTGTCTCCCAAGTGGCAAGGATTACAGGCTTGCTCGACGCCCCCCGGCTTAATGTATTAATGAAAAGAACTTTACCAACGTCAGTGTCCTCAAACTCATCAAGATAGAGATCTCTGCCCAGGGCCCAGGTGGCTCCCGCCTGTCATCCCAGCTACTCAGGAGGCTGAGATGTGAGGATCGTGGTTCGAAGCCAGCCTGTCAGGAAAGTCTGTGAGACTCTTATCTCCAGTGAACCACCAGAAAACCGGAAGTGGAGCTGTGGCTCCAAGTGGTAGAGCGCCAGCCTTGAGCTGAAGAGCTGAGGGACAGCGCCCAGGCCCTGAGTTCAAACCCCACAACCTACAAAAACAACAACAAAAAGAGGTTAAAAAATGGTGGTACTGACCGTATTTCAGAGATCTAGAGACTATGGCTGTGTATATGTAGTATACACACACACACACACACACACACACGAGATACAGATGAAATATATGTGCATATATGCACAAATCTTACATAAGATATGTGTATAGGACATATATGATCTATAGAAGATGATAGATGACAAATCCCATAGCTCATATGATGTGTATGCTCCAGCAGACACATGACAGATCATGTATATGTGCTCTATATCATATGGCATGTGTCTCCTAGATCATGTGATGTACATCATATGTGTATGCTATATTGAATATGTGATATATCATGTTACATATATCATCTATATGTTCACATCATATACCAGATATATCGTATGATCTATGAGATATATAATATGTATCTCATATATATGATATATAAAGCCGGAAGTGGCGCTGTGGCTCAAGTGGTAGAGCGCCAGCCTTGAGCAAGAGCAGCTCAGGGACAGCGCCCAGGCCCTGAGTTCAAGCCTCAGGACTGGCCAAAAAAAAAAAAAAAAATAGAGCTGCTGCTGTCAGCATCTGTGGATCTCAGCAGGAGATAAAAATAAACGTCCTGAGGTGGAAAGTGAACGCGGGAGCCGGGCAGCCGCACCTGCCGCTCCTGCGGTTCCTGCGGTCCTTTGGGGCTCTCTGCAGGCCCGGCTTGGCGTGGGGGGCGGGAGGTGAGGCCAGTGTGTAATGAATCAGCCCTTGACCTTGAGACACCCCGCGCCGGGCCGCCCGCTGCCCCTCCCTGCCTAGCGCGCCCCGGCCTCGCTCAGCGCCACAGACGCAGAACCCGTCAGAGGAAAGCAACGAGCTCTTGGCCACCCCGTGCTCTCCTCCCCGGTTATTGGTGGAGGTCTTTTTTATTTGCCTTCTGCTCTTCCCTCCCTCCCTCCCTCCCTCTCTTCCTTCCTTCCTTCCTTCCTCCCTCCCTCCCTTCCTTCCTTCCTTCCCTCTCTCTTTTTCTTTCTTGAGTATATGTGATGGTCCTGGGACTTGAACTCAGGGCCTGGGCGCTGTCCCTAAGCTGTTTTGTTCAAGGCTGGCGCTCTACCGCTTGAGCCACAGCTCCACTCCTGACTTTTTGATGGTTCACTGCTGGTAAGTCTCTTGGACTTCCTGGAGAAAAGTCCTTGGACTTTTCTACCTGGGCTGGCTTCCAACTACAAAAATCAGATGCAGCCTCCTGAGTAGCCGGGATTATGGGTGTGCACCACCAGCGCCCAACTTGTTCCCTTTTTTTTTTTTTTTTTTTTTTTAAAGTGCAGGTTTGAACTCAGGGCCAGGGTTCTGTCCCTGAATTTAATTTAATTTTCCTTCCTTCCTTCCTTCCTTCCTTCCTTCCTTCCTTCCTTCCTTCCTTCCTTCCTTCCTCCCTCCCTCCCTCCCTTCCTTCCTTTTCTTTCTTTCTCAGAGCTGGCACTCTACCACTTGAGCCACAGCACCCTTTCTGGCTTTTTTGGTATTTAATTAGAGTCTCACAGGCTTTCCTGCCCAGGCTGGCTTTGGGCCCTGATCCCGAGATCTCAGCCTCCTGAGTAGCTGGGATGACAGGTGTGAGCCCCAGGCACCCAGTACCTTATAATAAGATTGACCCTTTGAATCTCCTTTACTCAGGGTTGAGATTAACATCATTGCTCTTTGTGTGTGTGTGTGTGTGTGTGTGTGTGTGTGCCCGTTCTGGGGCTTGAACTCAGAGCCTGGGCACTGTCCCTGAGCATTTTCTTTCAAGGCTAGCACTCTACCACTTGAACCACAGAGCCATTTCTGGTTTTCTGGTGGTGCATTGGAGATCAGACCCTCACAGGGCTGGGAAGCTGGCTCGGTGGTAGAGTGCTCTGGGTTGGATTCCTCAGTACCACATACACAGAAAAAGCCAGAAGTGGCGCTGTGGCTCAAGTGGTAGAGCGCCAGCCTTGAGCCAAAGCAGTTCCAGGACAGCGCCCAGGCCCTGAGTTCAAGCCCCAGGACTGGCAAAAAAAAAAAAAAATCTCCCAGACTTTCCTGTCCAGGTTGGCTTCGAACCGTGATCCTCAGGAAAGATAGTTTTCTTATTTTTCCATCTCCTTTACAATAGCAGTACCTAATTATTTTTCAAAGATACATATTTTTTTCCCAAGAAGTGTCCAGTGCATTTCCACTCTGGAGCCTTCTACGAAGGCTTCTTCCTTCTCTGGAATCGAAAGCATGAGGTTCAGAAGGCCAAAGGCTACTGGGTGTGCGTGGCCAGGGCTGGGAAGTTCGGGGTGAAGCTCTGTTTTGCCGATTGGATTTTCTCGGGGTTTCTGCTGCCGTGTCTTGAAGCCATGCGGCACACGCGTGGATCTGGCCTTGGACTGCCTTTCTCTTCCCTCATCCCGTTTGCATTGAGCCTCTTGTCTGTCCATAGATTCGAGAACCTTCTATGGTCGAGAAAGAGCTTCGTCGAGAGCATGAAGGTCTACAAACACAGCTACATCTACATGCCTGCGTTCTCCATGAAGACGGGCACCGAGCCGTCGCTCCGGGTGTATTACACGCTCACCGACGTGGGTGCCAACCAGACCGTGCTGTTTGCCAACCCCAACTTCCTGAGGAGCATCGGAAAGTTCTGGAAGAGCCGGGGCATCCACGCCAAGCGGCTGTCCACGGGATTGTTCCTGGTGAGCGCAGCCCTGGGCCTGTGCGAGGAGGTGGCCATCTACGGCTTCTGGCCCTTCTCGGTGGACATGCATGAACAGTCCATCAGCCACCACTACTACGACAACGTCCAGCCCTTCTCCGGATTCCACGCTATGCCCGAGGAGTTCCTCCAGCTCTGGTTTCTCCACAAAATCGGGGCGCTGAAGATGCAGCTAGACCCCTGCGAGAGGCCCTCGCTCCGGCCCACCCCCTAGGAGCCACGGGGACAGCCAACAGGACCGGCAGCCGGGCGTTGGTGGGCACCCCTGTAGTCTCAGCCTGCCACTCAGGAGGCTGAGCTCTGAGGATGGAGGTTGGAGGCCAGCTGGGGGGGGGAAGTCCAGGAGACTCTTGATCTCTGATGAACCACACCCCCCCCATCTTCTACCCCCCCCAAAAAAGCTGGAAGTGGCGCTGTGGCTCAAGTGGTAGAGCGCCAGCCTTGAGCAAAAGCAGCTCGGGGACAGCGCCCAGGCCCTGAGTTCAAGCCCCAGGATGAGCATTTCCCCTCCCACTGGAAAAACAACAACAACAAAAAGGAACGAGCTAGACTTTTTCTAGGTTTTCTGTGAGACATGGAAAGCGAAGGAGTCTGGCCGTGATGCTGTGCGGCCTGCACAGAGCTGGGCCGCGTGTGGGAAACTTCACGCCGCCATTGTGTGCATTCTGCAAGCAGGAAAATACTCCTGAGATGGTTGTTCACACACACACACACATACACACACACGCACACACACACACGCACACACACACACACGCACACCATTGCTCGGATCCCAATTTGGAGTGCTACAGTGGGAAATCAAGACCGTCTGTCCTTACTGAGATGAAAGTTACTCCAGACAGGAGAATCCAGGGCCGACTGGCTTCATCGTCATTTAAAAACGAAGACCCGTCCTACTGAGACTGCTGTGAGAACTAGAGGTTGTTTGGTTGGTTGGTTTTTTTTTTTTTTTTCAAAATTATTAATTTATTTTTGCCCTAACTGATGTCAAGTGTGTGTAGATGATGGGGGTATATTTTCAAATACCGTATTGAAGCCAGGCGCCGGTGGCTCACTCCGAGGCTGAGATCTGAGGATTGGGGTTCAAAGCCAGCCTGGGCAGGAAAAGTCCATGAGACTCTTAGCTCCTGCAAACCAGCAAAAAGCCAGAAGTGGAGGCGTGGCTCAAGTGGTGGAGCACCAGACTTGAGCAAAAAAAAAAAAAAGGCCAAGTAAGAGTATATAACACCTTGAGTTCAAGCCTCAGTATTGGCACCAAAAATTAAATACAATAAAAATACCTTATTGAGTAATAAGGCTTTACAATGCCACCGCTGATCTATGTAATCTGTTGACTAACATCTGCATTGCTCTACTGTTTCCAAAAACAAAACAAAAAACAACATTGCAGCAAACCTTGTTTTTCTTGCTCAGTGTGGAGTGTGTGTGTAGCTCCTGAAGCATCGCTGAATTTAGATGTGTCCATTTGTAGGGCAGATTAACAGGAGCAATTCCTCACCTAGACATTGACAGCATGTTAGGTCTGCATTGCCTATGTCTGCGTTGTTGCTATGATTTTTGTGCAAAAAAGTCTAATTATTTGTCATCCGCATAATCGAATGTCTAGACGTGCAGCAAAGTGTAATTGAATGTCTAGACATCCGGCAAAGCATGATTGAATGTCTAGACGTGCAGCAAAGCGTAATCGAATGTCTAGACATGCGGCAAAGCATGATTGAATGTCCACACATCCAGCAAAGTGTAATTGAATGTCCAGACATCCAGCAAAGTGTAACTGAACATCCAGAATGAAGCAAAGTGTAATTGAGTGCCCACACATGCAGCAAAGTGTAATTGAATATCCAGACATGCAGCAAAGCGTAATTGAGTGTCCACACATGCAGCAAAGTGTAATTGAATGTCTAGACATCCAGCAAAGTGTAATTGAATATCCAGACATCCAGCAAAGTGTAACTGAGTGTCCAGACATGCAGCAAAGCGTAATTGAGTGTCCACACATGCAGCAAAGTGTAATTGAATGTCTAGACATCCAGCAAAGTGTAATTGAATATCCAGACATCCAGCAAAGTGTAATTGAGTGTCCAGACATGCAGCAAAGCGTAATTGAGTGTCCACACATGCAGTAAAGTGCAATTGAATGTCTAGACATGCAGCAAAGCGTAATCAAATGTCTAGACATGCAGCAAAGTGTAATTGAATGCCCAGACATGCAGCAAAGAGTAATTGAATGTCCAGACATGCAGCAAAGCAAAGCACAATGGTGGAAAGGTTAGTGTGTGAGGAAAACAGACATGAGGCAGATCCCTTGTGAGCTAATACGTGTGAGGCAGGTCTGCACACGTGTGTGCAAGGCCCAGAAAGCTTTCCTGCAGCGAGCAGAACATCGCACACAATCCGGTGCCCAAGTGTGTGACTACATGGAAACCAAAGACCAGCCCTCCTCCTCCTCCTCCCCCCTCCCCCTCCCCCTCCTCCTCCTCCTCCCCTCCCCCTCCCCTCCTCCCCCTCCCTCCCCCTCCTCCTCCCCCTCCCTCCCCCTCCTCCCCTCCCCCTCCTCCTCCCCCTCCCCCTTCCTCCTCTTCTCTTCCTCCTCTTCCTCCTCTTCCTCTCCTTCCTTTCTCTTCTTTCTCCTCCTCTTTCTCTTCTTCTCTTCCTGTTCTTCCTTCTTCCTCTTCTCTTCCTCCTCCCCTCCCCCTCTCCTCCTCCTTTCTTCTTCTCTTCCCCTCCTCCTCTCTTCCTCCTTCCCCCTCGTCCCCCCTCCTCCTCCTCCTCTTCCTCCTCCTCCTTTTGGTAGTACTGGGGATTGAACTCGCAGCCTGGTGCTTGAGCCACACTTCCACCCCTTTTCCCATGTCCTCTTCAGGATGGGCTTACGGACTGCGGCCCTCCTGCTGTACCTGCCCGTATCTCTGGAGGTGGCAGGCGCATGCCACCGTGCCCAGCTCTCGTGCCCGGCCATTGCCTGGCGTCCACCACTGCTAGGGATACAGGCCTGCGCCACGGCACCCAGCACTCGCTGAGATGCAGTCTTGCAAAAAACCCAAAACAAAACATTTTGGCCTAGGCTGGTCTCGAACCCATGACTGCTTGATTTCTGTTTCCCAAATACGTGGGATTACAGACTTGAGCCACCACACCCAGCCTACAGAGACAAGACCTCGCCCTCAGATGAACGGACTTTTTCCTTCCTGCTCACTTCAGACCCACGGACGTGGAGTTAGTCCCCGGACAGGGTTCGAGAATACCAGTTGTAGTGCGGTGTATTTTCTCGTGGTCTGCCCGTTGCAACCACTTCAACACACAGCGAGGAAACCCTGCGGACAGGAACGCCCCAATGTCTTCAGAACTTGCCAGGCAACGGAAATCTCTTGATTTTTGTTGTTGTTGTTTGTTTTTGGCCAGTCCTGGGGCTTGAACTCAGGGCCTGGGCGTTGTCCCTGAGCCTGTTTGTGCTCAAGGCTGGCGCTCTACCACTTGAGCCACAGCACCACTTCTGGCATTTTTTTTTCCTGTGATTAAGTAGAGATGAGATAATTTCACAGACATTTCTGCCCGGCCTGGCCTCGAGCCACCATCCTCAGATCTCAGCCTCCTGAGGAGCTGGGATGACAGGCGGGAGCCATGGATTTCGGTTCTATAGTGAACGGCTCTGCTTCTTAGATCCTGGGTATTGAGAAAGCACCGTGAGCAAGCTGTCTTAGCACTCAGAAGATTGCTCCTCTTTTCAGCTGTTAGTATTTGATAATTATAAAGAACGCATTTTTTTTAAACTCATACTTCAATGCATATGTAAGAAGCCTAACCAAATAAAAATCCCTACACAAGTTAATTAATTATTAATTAATTAAATATCAATTACCTTTCCAATGGAAAGTAGGCATTCGTTAACTTTTCAGTTAGCCCTGGCTGACATCCACAGCGTAAAATCCTAAGATCACGCAGTGGACCAGAGTGGGCGCAGCAGAGAAGAAAACGCTTTCTGCACGTTCGTCACCTCGATGAGATTCCCCAGGTCGATCGATGCAGTAGATGTGTAGCATAGTAGAATGCTCAATTTAAAAAACTGTGCTCTATGGCTTCTAAAACACCGTGGCTCCTGCCTGTCACCCGCGCTGCTCAGGAGGCTGAGATCTGAGGATCGCGGTTCAAAGCCAGCCCGGGCTGGAAAGTCCGTGAGACTCTGATCTCCAGGGAACCAGCAAAAAGCTGGAAGTGGCGCTGTGGCTCAGGTGGTAGCGCGCCAGCCTTGAGCACAAAAGTTCAGGGACAGTGCCCAGAGGCTCTGAGTTCAAGCCCCAGCGCCGGCACCCCAAAATAATGTAACACAAAATACAAAATAGAAATGACAGCTATCGATAGTGTTTGCTTAGCCTCCTGATGCAGCTTGTGTTAGTCACTCTGCCTTCTGTGGGCCATGCCTGGAAATGCATGTCATTGTCACCATTCAAGGATGCTTCTAGAAAGTTCCTCATGGACAACCGGAAGTTCCCACGAAGCATCCTACAATCCCAGCTCAGCTTTGCACAGCAAATAATCGCCAGAGAGAAGGCCAGTCATTCCAAGATGGCGGAACCTCAGAGCAGATCCATTGGGAAGTTCAGTTGTTCACAGGATCATAACAGTTCGTCCTATGCAAAGAGCGGCGATGAGTGAATGATCATGTTTTCTCAGGGAAGATTGTGGTTTGGCATTACTAACTCACAAGTAACATGTGTGTGTGTGTGTGTGTGCGTGCCTTGCTTGGTTCATGCATATGAACAAAAATGTGTGTGCATACATGTAGCATGAACTCATGCATCACTATCCTTCATTATATATAACTAAGAAATTACATATAATTGGATATTTAATTATATATATAAATAATCAGATTCTAGGGAGGACCTTAGGAATAATATATATATATATATGTACACACATATACATATATTCATAAACACACACACACACATATATATATATATATGCTTTTCTAGAATTTTCCTGTAGAATACTCTGGAATACTCTTATTACTAAAAGAGAAAAAAAAAAGTTGAGCTTGAAACTTACTTCATTGACTTTATCTCGAATTCAGAGCTCATCCTGGTATGTTTACCAACTTTGGTTCACTATAGTTGTGTTATTTTCTGTTTGTTTTTTAACCCTTCAGTGGTAGCACCAAAGACATTCAAGTTATGGTTAGATTTGTTCAGGAAGAAATTATTTCATCAA